AGCCAGTCAATACTTGGTAGCTGTCTCCTTCCTCGTTGACAATAGAGGCGGTTTGCGGAGCCACCCTACATCTGCACCGAATGCATGCTGGTCGGCGTTCATGATGATGGGGCAGCTGAGTGAGTAAAGCACAATACTGGCATCCGGCATTGCCAGGCAGCAATGGTGACAGGAGACAATATGGCTGGTCTCGAGTGGCGCAGGGTCACAGCGACTATGTGAGCCTTTAAGACCCGTCTGTGCTGAGGTGTCGTCCTTTCAAGCATGGCGGGATAGACGGCTAGCGCGAAGCATTGACAGGGACAGCTGGGGCGCGCGCTGCGGGAGCGGCAGCTAGCGGCAGCTCGCCGTGGTTAGGTAGGTGTGGATAACGATTGGAAGGAATGCGAGATGGTGCATGCGACATCAACGTGGCCGATCGCAACGGCGTAAACCATATTCATCGAACATGCTGTGGGCACCTCTCTAGTGCACGAATCGCGCTAGTGTCAGCCAAGTATGGCGTATAACCCTACCCAGGTGGAAGACGCGCGATCAGCTGACCCAATGGGTCATCCAGACGGGATTGCCGCCCGCATCCGAACGAGGCTGAAGCGGTCATGGGCTGTAACCTGAGACGCTCCAGTAGCTCATGACGTGCCAATGGCTGCGCAACCCACTTCAACAATGCATGTGGGCAGTAGCATTCGTGATGGAAAAGCATCAGCTGCCAAGCCAGTCCGTCTCCCCTTGTCGCAACAAGGTTGCTCACCAAGGGACGAAGGACGCTTCAGCAAGATACTTGCCCAGCTCGTATGTCATTCCACCAAGCACCAGCTACAGCAGAGGATATGCGTTTTTGTATGTGCGGTGCTCTGTCCGCGCTCTGTCCATGCGTCACTGCAAATGTGTCGCGCGAGGTGAGCCACTTCGCAAGTACCACTTCGTATGCGCCAGTCGCAGGCTCGCGTGCTTCGATCGCTTTGTCATACAAGCGCAGTCGTAACCATGCTCTATGCGCGCACGTTTGCGGGCGTTGTTCAATCGTCGCCATGATGTGCTGGACAAGTGTCTGCATAATTGTTAGCGGGTAGTCGAATCCAGCATCGTGTCCGGGAATGTCTCGTAGCGCACCGAAGCCATGGAAGACTCCGAGCCAGCCTATACCAACGCTTGATTGGTCATCAGGGAAGACGAGCAGGTTTGACATGCGTAGTCCTAGATAACCTCTTCCCTCGCATCACCAGAGGGCCACATGACACAGATCTAGCCACCAACCAAAAGTGACACCAGGAGCGGCGACTGCCGCTTGCGATGGACACATGTGCCAACGCAGGTAGCCTTGCCGAGATTCAAGGCAAGCCACCAAGAAATCTCTGAGTACAGTATTTTGGTTCCTTTGATGGGGTCGCTTCCTTATTGAGATGGAATGATTACCGACTACGTCCAAGTAAACTGCGAGCAGCGTCATCTAGGTTGATGCGATGGCGACGCCAGTTGCAAGCATCCATGAAGAAAAGGATGCGGGGACTTGTATGGTGAATGCTTGGTGTTTGTATTCGTCGATAGGCAAGCGATGCGTCGCCGGCGACTTGATCTCGATATTGCCGTTATTCATGCAGTGATATGATATGGCGGTGCCTCACTGAAGCTCCATTGCGCGCATTCCTACTGCCCTCTTCAACCCGATTGTCATCACCACACGATCATTGGCAGGATCTTCTGCAACGTACGCCTGCGGACAAGATGGGAGACAAGAGAGAATGGACATCCTGGAATAGAAAGCAAGACATGGAACCAAAAGCTGCAAAGCAGAAAGTTGGGACTATTGCGAAGTCATGAAGTCCCTATTCGCATCGAGCACGACTACCGACGCCTGTCAAGCCCCATCATGGAGTCCTTAGGGCATCGCATGATGTCTTCGAGGGACAGACTTTGCTGAGGCGAGCATCGTGCTCAGAGCGGAGTTTCGCGGTCGCCGGCGCGCAGGTACGTAGACATGGCGGCCTTTGACGATGGCATTGGTCCGCACCGAAGGTGATATATCAGGATGTGGTGTCTGACCTATGATTACGTCGACCGCTCCACTTATTCAGGCCAGGAAAAAGGCCAGGTTCGGCGATGAGCATTGGTCCATTCTGTAAAGGTTGTCGAAATCTCAGGCAAACGACAAGGTCTAGAGCGCTGCGGAACAGTGTCGCTGGGGATGTTGGCTATCCTATCTACTGCAACACCGACGTTAGCTTGCTCTTTTGCGTGGTGCAATGTGACCGATTGAAAGCATCAGGGTGAGCGCGGGGCAAACACCGAGTGCGGAGAAGAGACATCCCAGCATTGGGAGTTCGAAGAGCAGAGGAAAGACTTGTGCAAACAGCGGTCAAAGAACTGGCGAACTGTGGACGAAGAAATAGTGCATTTAGCAAACGCGTCCTAGTGACCTCGATCAGGTGGCTCGGTTGCGCTGAGTTGGAATATGTCTTGGTTTCGATACTACAATCGACTGGCGAGTGGGCAAGAGTGATCCGGACCTTGAAACCGTCCCCTCCCTCTTGACCGCGTGTCCTTTAGATAACACCCTCATAATTTTGCTCGTTGCTAGCCGCAGAGACAAAAGTCAAAATGACCAGTCTCCGAGTACTCTTAACAAGAGGTCGCGCTGTCGGGTCTGGCTAACGTCCATAGGCTTCTACGCTCGCTCTCAATAGTGTTCCCTCAGGTTGATGATGCGAACGCAATGGCTACTTTTGGACAAAAGGCCGAGACGGTGTGCTAGATGAGAGAGAGAAAGACTGCATCGCTACAGGTGATTGTAGATTTCGACACCCATGTGAATGGCAGTGTGCCGAAGGCAGCTGGAGCGAGAGGATTCGGGATGCCAGTGCGTGGACGGGTGATGCAAGGAAATGCACAGTATAACGAATAGGTGCTTTCTACTTCTGCCCGGGAAGACAGGCGTTGGGTGGGTGAAGCCGCCAAGTGCGCAGGAGAACAACCTTCCAAGTCACCTCGCCTTTACCAACCACCCGGAATTGCTCGTTTATGTAGTATTTGAGGCTGGCACGCGTACCGACAGACTTACATGGGCGATGTGACGCGTCCTGTTCTGTGCTGTAGGTTTTCTGACCAAGTCATCGTGTTGCGCAGCTCAAGTATAACCAACGCTGTTGGCGTCAGGGACGACAGCGGAGATCTTATAGGTTTGCAGCGGATATCCATCAGGTGACGTAGCGGAGATGGTAGAGGATGTCGGTTCGTTCTCGTTGGGGCAGCATACTTAAGGACACACGTCAACCAAGTGAAGGATCCGAGTCAAGAGAAAAGACTAACCGGAACGGGGGCACGACGCACGCGCCGCACTATAGCAGTCCGCCAGTGATTGAGACCAATTACGGCGGCGTCAGAGGTGTGAGAAGCATGTGTAGCTGGTACAGCCAGCGCGCTTGACCTCCGAAGCCGCCACTGAGGGATTTTCGAGCTTATGGATCAGACCGCGGCCTGGGTCAAAGGCGACCATGGCTAAAACGAAATTCGATCGTAGTTCGAGGGGCGTATTCGTGATGGCAAAGCTGCCAGAACGCGGCTGCAGTTGGGCAGAATGTGACACCAAGGACCGCGTGCTTGAGGCGGTAGGGCGATATCTTTCAAAAGGGCATACACTACGTCCAAGGCTGACGCTGACGCTCAGTAGAGTTTGCCGTAGCGTAATGGTTTGGCATGCCTTCGCTGTTGTGGTACACTCCCTCGGTGGTCTGATCAGTGTTCTGGCCCCGGACAAATTTGCGTCAGTGGTGGTAGGCAGAGGGAACCTAAGTGTCCAGAGGTTGTACGGGAGAAGCATCCCATGCAACGTTCGATCGGACGGTACGTTGATCTTCCACCAGTGGTAAGGGACTACGGTCTGCCAGGTGCGGCAGAGACCTCATTGTCGACGTCTACGGGGTTGACCTGCATGATCTCGAGGTACTGGACATTCGCTGAACAGACCTGTGGTGGTATTCTGGCATGGTGATACGCCCGGCACTGCATCAGCCCGATGGAATTATGTCGCCCTCGAGTATGGGGATGGAGTCTTGCCGTTTCATCCCGAGACGAACATCGTAATCGTGACATCGTCGCGTCCGCGCCACTGGAGCGTGGCCTCAGCATTGATGTTGCAATAGTGGTGCAAAGAAGCTTCTTGGTCGACATGAACTTGATGTCGTCCTTCTCGGGGCCTAGGCGGGTTCGAGTTCACGGCTGGGGTGCACTAGTTCGATAACGGAAGCACCCCTTGGTGTCGACACTGGAAGGGCAAACAACTCTACGGTTCTGCGGAAGTTGAATGTAGCTGTTCTATGAGGCGCAGCATTGTCGATGCGCATGACATGCGCTTTCAGCACAGATGAGCTTTGCGCACGCGCTTCAGCATGCAGCCGAGCGCGGAGGTACCGGAGGACGGTGATGACGTCGACTGTGGAGAGAGACGACCAAGTTCCTCTGACGCGTGTTGTCGCCAGAGGACATCGGACAGCCATAAGGTCAGCGAGAGACGTTAGGACCATGCCTGCGCGTTCGCGGTGCTCGATAGTTGTTGATGGCCGATGCAACGTCGGTGGTGCCGTGAGCGGAAGACATATGGCGTCATCGTGTTGCTGTGGACATTCGATGGGCCTGCGTGATGGGGCTGTGGCTACTGAATTGAGCGAATCTGGGAAGTGCGCGTGTTTGGTCGCCGCAGTGGGAAGGAGGAGAGCTGTGTCGGTGCTCTTGGGCATGGCGAGGGCGGGCAAGTTGGCTGCGGCGTCGGCCGTGTTGTGCTTGGCGTCGGCACGGCATAGCCGCGTCTCACGGGCGGGCCTCGGGCGACATCAGACGACAGACCATCTCAACCTCTCGATGCACTCCATGAACTTGCGAAAGGTGGTGCATCGAGCGTATAACGGCGTTGTGACAAAAAGAACCTGCTAGCTATACGTCCTCAACGTACCCACAAAGATCTACATGAAGGTAACCCACCAATCTCCTCAAACGCGCTTGATTCACTACTCCTCGAATTTCGCATCAGGCCAACTTCGATGCGCTTTTCCGTCGTCAGTCACCCTCTCCGCAATAGACACTCTGGGACTACCCCAAATGTCTGATGCATCTGAAAACAGTTCTAGCATCTCAGACAAGAGACGCTTCGCTGTTTCTTCCATAAGAGGACGACGCAGCATCATCCAGTCAGTAAGGATAGCCATGCAGTCGTCCAGATCTTCCAGAGTGCCTTTACTAAAGACAATGTATCTTATCGAGACAACTCCGTCTCGAGCGGGTTCCTGAAGTCTGAAAGCTCGGTGAAACCCAGAAAACATTGTCATAGCTCCCCAAGTGCCGCAGGCATCTACTACAGGGCCTCGGTGAAGAACCAAGAGGCATCGGCATTTTTTCCATAGCTGATCCAAACACAGCTTCATGGCCTCTTCGGCTGTCGCTATGTTGACAGGCTCGATCATCTTACCGCCGTTCCTCCACCAGACGTTTCCGGAGCGATTCTCCCAATTGCTGATGGACTCCCCTTCCGCCAGCTCAAACGCATAGCCGGGACCAGAATCGATGACAACGGCCGATTGGGATTCATCGGACTTGCTTGCTATGCGATGTGCTGCGGGATATTCGATGTAAGCGGCATCGATGCTCGCATGCTCGTTTGTTGCGATCGCAAAGGACGTGCATAGTCCGATGCCGCTTGTCCAAAGATAGGGAGGAAGAGGTTCTATCCATGCTGGCTTGACATCCCCGAACAACTTTCCATTCTTCTTGCCTAGCAGCTTTCCCGCGAGGTCCCATCTAGTATTCGGATCGACATTCTCTAGCAGTTGATCGCATCTTCGGAGGAACTCTCTCCACGGCTGCGTTGCAGCCGGCATGGCTGTTGCCAAGATGTATCTGGCGTTCAGGACATTGGTGTAGTCTGAAGACGCCCAGACTTGTTCGTAAGCAGACTGTGCTGCTTCGAGGTCTGTCATTGTGTATATGTGTGTGTGTGTCTACGAGTGTATGATGAAAACGTCGGGATGCGGATGCGATTGCGAAAGTGTGTAGCTTTTGGCGCTGGTCAACCCGTCGGTGGTTGACAAAGAGCAAGACAACGGTCCTCGCATGGTAAACATTTACCCAGTGTGCAACTTCCGTAGGTTACGCGTGTACACATTTCACGTTGATTCCTTCTACGTGTACTTCAATACTCTTTCCTTATAATCCTATGATTCTCAACTGATCTTTTCAGCAAGGCTATCTTCTGGACTTAAGCTTACAGACGTCGCTAACTATACCAATCAAAAAGAACCCTAAGAAGTTTAGGATGAATGGATTGTTAATAGTGCTGGTTCAATTTGTGGATGTTGCGGAAGGAGAACCATGGTTCTAGGGGTACATAGCCACTGCACTTAAAACCCTTCGTTCTACTGCACAGTCGCAAACATACTCGCACACGCATACACACCACCACGCACAAGCATACCCGCACACGCACTTACAGTTCGCGCACCCTACACGATGTCATCCTCCCAGCAGCAGTCCGTCCCAAGGATTAGACGGGTTCGAGAGCTGCAAGCGTACGAGGACTGGGTCGAGGCAGGGGGATTAGAAAGATTTGCAGCAGAGCATAATGTCAAACCAGACTTCGCTGACCGTCTTTGCGACGTCAAGCCGGACGTAGCCATCGCGTTTTACCTCAAGCTCGCGACTATACCTGGCCTAGAAACTACAATGGCACCCCCGAGCAACGAAGTGTATGCCCCCGCCTCATATGGGCTACAAATCATACAAGACATGGAGAACGGATGGAGCAGCGAAGATGAGACGGATGATAAGAAGGCCAAGGAACAGAAAGGCGGAGAGAGCAAGGACGTAAGTCGCAAGACTTAGTCCTTGCATCTTGTGGTAGGGCTGACAAATGACAAGATCAAGGACGAAACCGATGAGGACTTCTTGTTCCTCGCAGTTTTGAGCAGCCTGAGGAAACGAGGCGCGTCCAGTTCAGCACTGAGTAGCCTGGCAAAGCGCTACAAGGAGGCATGAACACGCCAACGCTCTTGGTATGGAGCTTGTGTCAACCCTCGTGAGAATTTTCTCTGCCAAGTCAGCGATGGATAGTCCGGGAGTCATCTCATCAGAGTGCCCAGCTGATTCAGTGTAAGCATTCGAGCATGGGAAGCATGTGGCGGATCGATGGGGAAGGTCGTGTCGTCCAATCAGCGAAGCTGCAGCCATCTGAACTGCAAAAAACGCGACAAATGGTTGTACATGCGATAAAAATGCGCGCATTTGTGTCGCCAATATACCTTTTTCAAACGTGTAGAAGATCTGTTGTGCAATTAAGCTTCCGCGCTGAATCAGTCATATGCAGCCCATGAGCTACTCATGTGCCCACACCGCGTATCGCCGACAGAGTCCCATAAAGTGGGTACAAGATAGCCCTCCTATTGACCAGCTCAGGCTGAAATGAGCAGTGCGCTGAGTGAGGTCTGCTGCGCGATCGACGTGTGTACGCGGAGGACACAAGGGCGGCATGCGCAAGACTGGACCTCGGCTCTGGGCGGACATCGGAAACACGACATGCCGCCCACCCAACAACACCTCGGACCTTCTCGCAAGCGCATTCACGCCTGGAAGTCGGGCTATGCATTGATCGCCCGCCCTTGCATCAGTATGGCCACAACGAGGCGCCGGCACCAGAGACGACTACCTAGGTACCTACGAACTCCATCGAGACGCGCTCCAACATGCATCGTCCGTCTACTCATCATCGGCCACTATCGGTGGCTACGACCCTCAAAGCTGCCACTGTGTCAAGCCAGGTCCCCATCATGCGCACCTCGCCCTTCGCAATCAAACAAGAGTAGACGTTGCGCTCTTCTGCTAGTCTCATCTCAACGAGGAAGATGATGGGCCATCGGCTCAGACTGTGGCCTCGCACCTGCATTCGCAAGATGCATGCCATCCTCAGCTGCGCCGTTGGTACCTAGGTAGGATGAGTCTCCGGGTAAGATCATCAAGTCGGTCTCTTAACAACTCTGCAAGGAAATGTAGGTCAGCCACGAAGCCTTTCATTAGTCAACTCTGTACAAGTGCGCATGGGCAAATGAGGGTCAGATTAACACAAGCATCATGTGTCCTCACCGCCATGGAGCCCTGCCCGCAGGTGTGCCATTGTGATTATTACGACGTCTTCTTTGATGTACAACTCCCAACCGTCAGATCACTCCAACCACAAATATACTCTAGTCTTGCACAGAAACCCCGCCCAGCAACGCCCTTACGCCAACATATCCGGCTCCTCTTCCAGACCCCCCATGATTTCGCATCTCGATAGGTCGCACGTTGCCGAATCTGCTCTCGTCGCGTCACTCATAGGGCTGTAGGGTCTGCACGAAGTCTCGCTCTGGCTCGTTCTGCTCTTGCGCGGTCAATTGCGGCGAGCTCAAACTGAATGCTTTTCAACCACTCGATGATCGCTCTGTGAAGGTCAGCTAGGCAGGTTGCGAACACGCGGCGGATATACTCACTCGAGCTTAATGGTTTTGATCACGTGGTCGCCATCACTCATATCGTCGATACTACCGTCACGTTCTCTGCCTGGGTCGGTACCTTCTTGGACCTCTTCGACGTAGCTGCCCCCGCCTTCTCTGCCCTCCATCCGCCGCGACTCTCGTGGTGAGCTCTTTGAATCGACGCTCCAGATGCCGCAAACACTGGTTCCAGCGCCTTTCCATCGCTTGCGGAGCATGGAAGAGATGGAGGAACCGGTCGTTCACGAACCGACGAACTCCTGCGCAACTAACAATCTCATCGCGAACGGTCGCTTGGGTTTGGGCCTTGTCGACTTCGATTTCTGAGTCTCGGAAGTGCTGCATTTTGGTGGGCGAGGGGACTGCGACGCGTCGCGCGGGAGTGGTGAGAGTGGTGGTAAGTCGGAGTAGTGCGATATGTTGGCCAGTACGAGTTGGCAAAAGATCGCTACGACACACACTTCCCCGCGCTCACCGTCCCTTCCACCTTCACTACTACCTGTGAGATTGGGGCGGCGGAAATCAGCGCCTCATTGACAGCGGCCTGAATCGCTCCGTGTCGCTGGTTAGGAACGAAAAGTTTAAAATTAGTCTCGCCATCCAAGATCGAATACCAGAAGCTTCCCTGGCACCTGCGATCGGGTCAGCCCAGACAAACGTGTCTCCATCACGCTGTATGTCGACTTGGAGGTCTGTATCAACTCTGAAGCAGTTGCGGCATTAGCCGTACAACTGTTCGGAGATGTCCCGCGGTCTGTGACGTTCACGCAAGCCTGCAGGTAGATGGAATATCGGAAAGTTCATGTCTCCCATCCCACGACGCCCGTATCTCACCTCCTTCGTCATTCAAATGCCCACGTGCATCACGATTGAGCTCCACCAAATTTCTCAGCGGAATACTATCTCAGCGCGAATTTAATCACACCCGCTTCGAACCCCAGGAAGTGAGACCTATTGGAGCCAACACGATCAGCCGCCGGCGTTTAGCGCTTGGTGCGTACTCATGGTGAAAGTGATTGCGGAAGCGACCACCAACCGAGGTCTTTCACACCCGGAAATCTGTTCCTTTTTTCCAAGCGCTGCTATCCTAATTTCACGGAAAGCCATTTCCCCTGTCACCGATATACAGCTCAGAAGACATCGCGAGACGTTAGCATGGAATGCACCGAATCCGCGAGGCGCCTCATCATTACCCTGCAGATCAAGATACATCTCCTCACCCCCAAGTGCCATCCGAGAACTCCCCGAAAGATGAGATGTCGGTGGTACAAGAAGACGCGCCACCCCAAGCGCCGTCTGAAGAAGCTCGGCACTCTTATTGAGGGAGACGAGGAGGATAGCACTGGCTGTGAGAGTATTTTCATCAAGAGGAAAGGCCATGACCACGAGGAAGATGGTATTGATACCTCGTAAGTATGTACACCGCTGCCTCTACTCTATTTCCTTAGCCTTCGCAGGCCGTTAACTACTTAGGTCGACACGATCGTATACGTTATGGCCACCTTGACACCGCAATGGTTGTCCATTATTGACGAGAACGCTACAACAGCTAGACAATACTGCGATAAGTTGAGCACTCGGCGCACATATTGGACTCTAATCTACTGTCTCGGTGTCTGCGTTTTGTCGGCAGCAAGAAAGCCCACGCAAGATACCAGCTTCGGACTGTAGAGCATGCGTCGTTACATTTCCACAATGAGAGCTCATGATTTCTTCTGGACTCTTTATATGGAATCTCCAGCGGATATAGTGTCCTGAATTCCAGCATACAATTGAGGCTGCGCCGTTGGTGCGAAGTCGTTCGAGATGTTTACCCCCATCATTCCTTGCAATACCCCCAATTCAGATGAACGGGCTTTTGACTTGCGATGGAGAGTGAGGGCGTAGGCAAGATGGGTATGTTTACGCGATCTTTCTTCGAGTTCTCTAGATTCTGACGGTCTAAGAAAATCTGCGTGACAATGGCGCGGACCTTCGGTTGTCTGAAGGCTGCATATGAACCCGTATGGACCACGACAGATCTATGGGGTAGTGCAAGCCGTGGAGAGAACTCAGATTATTACTAAGAACTCTTGAAAGAACTTACTGCGAGACGTCGTTGACTGTGTCGTAATCAAGGTTGTCATGTCGCTGGTACGACGTATTCGGGCAGTCTTTGGGTCCTCGGTACGTTGGCACTTCGGCCTGACCTGCTGCTTCTTGCTTTGGTTCTCGTATTCGCGTATAGCTTCCTGATGTGGGGAAAAGAGCCTTGTTGGTAACGGTAGCTAACGTCGGAGTCGCTGTTTCAAAGTTTCAAGGTCTATGACAAGCGTAGAGGGAGGACTGAGATCAAGTCTGATAGATCATGTAAGCGAGTAAACAACATAAACGTGCCGCGGGCGTAATCACTCTTGGCCAAGACTGACTCTGGCAACCTTGATTCCCTGGGCTTTGATCACTCCGAGACCTCTAGACTTGACAAAGTCAATTCCTTCTACCTGAGCAGCTTCTTATTCTTGGGTTCGCACTGTTTCGTACTCCTCCAACCCAAGAGCATCATGCTCCCACGCCTTGAGCTTGCATATCTCTTCCTCCTCTTCATTGGTATCGAGTATGGTTTGAGGGTGGAGAACGAAGCGTGGTCTTCGCGATTGTCCAATTTCATCATCTCTGTCTCGAGTCTTTCTTGGTCCCATGATAACCTGGAGCGGAACACGCAAACGGCAAACGTAAGTTTGGTAGTCCACCTGGGAACCGACACGGTCTGGAATGGTGAACAGCAACGCCTTCTTGATGATAGCTCTCAGTATTGTTTTCGCCACGTCAAATCGATCGACACTGGGGCCTTCGGTGTTGAGGCAGGCAGCGTTGGAGATGTGCGTCTGTGGGAGGATGGAAGACACGCAAGAACATTAGCCTTGATCCACCTCAGAGCTGTGACTGCCAAGCGTTGTGATCTATCGTCTGCGCCGTCTAAATCGAGTCTATGAGGGGGATTAGCCGGGTCAATAACGCAGTGAGTCGGCAGCTGTACTTACCCGCAATTCACCATATCGCTATCACCCTTTTCGTACACAGCTTTTACTATGATACCCGTTGCAACGCGGTCCTTGAAGTCCGTTTCGTCGCCTGTGGAAACGATGGTCTCGGCTTCGTCACATATATCAGCGCCGTAGCTGGAGGCTTCCTCTTCGTGCTTCCATTCGACCTCGTAGTGGTAAAACGCTGGCTCGTTCCAGGAGTCGGTATCGTTACAGATTGAAGCCTCGTCACTCAACTCAACTTGGGCAGAGAGGTCAGCCTTATCCACGGATCCGATTCGACGGAGAGAATCGATCTCTTCGACCTCGACAATAGCTATGAGGCCCATTACCCACGTCTGTAGGTCTTTGGAATAGTCGTATTGCACCGCATCCTTTTGAACGGGGTGTCTGAGGTTCAACGCAAATTCTTGCGCTGGGGGCTGCGCGTTGCACCGTGGCGGGCTCGTTCTCTGGATTTATCACGGTGGCCTCGCTTCCGGAACTCATCGCGGCGGTCTCGTCGTTCGTTGTTCACAGGATTACGGGCTTGCAGGCGTTAATTTGCGGTAGAATGAGGATGGGCAAACAACTTGTTGCGAGAAGTGGGAGACTTGTTGTACGCCAAGACGCGCTTCCTCAGTCACCTCTGGTTCCACGTTCACGCTTACCACGGTGGAGCTGCAAACGCCAAGGGCGGACCCTAGCGACCTGTTTCTCATGGCCACCGCGGGGCAGAGAATGAGAGCAGGTCGCCCTCTGCTAGCATGTCGGATAACGGAAGTCTCGGTGGTACATGAGAGATATTTGGATCGATAGGAAGTGTTGCGAAGGCCTACGGCCTAAGAGGTAGATGAAGACAATCTGTCGGAAGGTTCTGGATCGAATGGTCAGGTCTATAAGTCGACGGCATTATAAGTCTGGACGCGTGGTGCATGGCTTGATCAGCGATAAATGCTGTCCGGACCAGCGTCGCAAGTACGACTACTCGGAAGAAGCCTGGAGCGTACATCATCCGATACCCAAGTATGGAGGTCGTGAAGGGCTACTAAACGCATGACGTGTACTGCGCGGCGTTATCACAAAGACTTCTTGCTGGTATGTCGTCTTTGTTCTATAGCTGGTCCTGGTCTTCAGTACTTGCGCATCGTCGACCGAGAGTTTCCCGACGCTCGTCTAGGAATCCAGTTCGTCCCATGAACAGTCGTTTGTACCGGCCCTGCTCTTCCAGTCATTCACTTTGCATTCCTCACCGACCTCACGCGTCTCACCACTGTTCTCATCAGTCTCGTCGGTGTGGCGCTCGTCACTGGTCTTGGTAACCATACCAAGCACAGGCACTCGACGATCGACCTTCTTCATCTACACCCTCTGCACACACATGTCGCCAGGCGCTTTGGCGTGCGCCCTTGCTAGAAGCGGAAGTAGGCTTCATGGTGCGAGAGTGAGTTGATTAGGCTGTGTGTTGAAGCACCGATCTTTGCGCGTGTTACGCTTTCCAAACGTCTCTGTGGAGTCGTTGCGGGGCGAAGACGATGGTCGCAGCAATCAAGGAAAAGGTAGTGTGGACAGACGACGCGTCAGGAAGGACGATGAGCCCCAAATCGCTCCCACCTTCACCTTTATCGCTGTTGTTAAGCGCCGGGTGGCAGACCATGAAGGCCGACTATTTTGTGATCAATTCCAGATATGTACATGGTTAACGATGTCCAACTGGGGCAGCTCCAGTAAGCCGTGTTCAGAAGTTCCAAGCTCTTTTGATAGAGTCGTCAGCAGACAAGGTTGAATACGCGTAGCGAGTGAACGTTGTCCGCACCGGGACATCTCACGAGTGGCTTGCTGCGGCTTTGATACTCTGATCCGCCTGATCTCTCTCTTTCACGTCGCAGATCGCTGTTTCGCTACCGCAACAGTTGGTATTGCTGTCGGCCTTCGCGATATGACTGGTGTTGGTTTTCTTAGGGGGCTCGACAACCTGCAAGACCTCTGCCTCGACGACAACGTCTAGCTCATGTACCGAAGCCTTGAATCCGTCAACTTTCGTCCTCCATGCTCCCATGTTGCTTCTGGTCTTTCCATGTGCCGTATGTGAAGCGTGAGTGGAACGCAGAGCCCTCAGCCTTCATCTCCAGCGTCGTAGTGCCGACCAACCAGCAAGTTATCCGCACTGCGTGCAATAAGGGAGAGTAGTACCCGTCGTAAAGACACGCACTACCTTTCCAGCTCCACTTCCCTTGCCGCAGCCTAGCTACTCATCAAGGAACGAGGGGCTTCTCGCATATACTTAACCAAGTTGTATTACGATTCCATCGTTTTGTTATGTATGCTCCACGTTGTACAGGTAATGTCGCATAGTACAACGCAACGCTGTCATGCTAGTCAGCGCATCAAGGTTAACGTCAGTAAAGAAGTTTGCTTAATCAGAGCGGAGTAACTAAACAGTGCGAGGACGCAGAGATAGGCGGGGAAGACGCTCAAGTCTAGATTCTCGAGGTAAAGGTCAATGCTGTAAAGAGTGTTAGTTAGACTCCAGACAAATAAATAGAAGCGAAACTCAAGACTAATACACAGAGAATGCCCCCACCTGCCTTATTGCCCGCTAAACGTCCAATCTTAACAGCAGAAGCCTTGCGACTTAGGTCGCCCGCACATGCGCAGTGCCGCAAGCTTAGAAGGTACGCGGCTGTTGTCAGCCCGTAAACGCATCCTATCCTCATTTCCTTAAATGCGCGCCCTGCCGCGGAGGTCCAGCTATCGCTTCGCGGTTCCTGATAGCCAGATTATGCCGGAGAAAGTATAGTAAACAAGGACAGACGTTGTAAGCGGAAAAGACACCCATGTGTTAAAGGACACGCGCAGAATATCATCGACTTCGGACGCGTAGTCGGCGGGCAAGGCGCGGGTCAGGCCTTCAACAGGAAAAATAGAGAGCAAGCCAGCTCTTCTTCCCTGTCCCAGCCAAGTTGCTTATTAATAAACGAAGAGCAATTAGTCATTTGCATAACCTGTTAGCAAATAATCTCTATGTATGTGTATGTCGTGTTCTGCGGACTAGTCTATATAGATCGCTATATCGGTAGTCTGCGTGTGTGCATTTGTCACAGGGTCTTTTGTCGCGAAGGAGGAGATAGGTAGTATCTGCGCAAGTGTTAGCGATCTGTCGTGGCCAAAAATACAACACGCCGTATACCAACCATTGCTGCGCTTTTGTGCACTCTGTCGCCAATCTCATCGTTTGTGTCTTTGCCAGCTTCGAGCGTTGTGGGAAGCTTGACGGTAGCCAAGTCAGTGCCGGCGCTGCGGTCGCTCCCAGGAAGTCAGGCTCGATCAATGCTAGCGTGAGGTGACGCCGTTGATAGCGTAGCTGTCGATAACCAGGGTGAGGGCGTCGATCTCCTGGTGCCAGCTAGGCTGCTGTTCGCTCGCATCGGCGTCGTGTTTGATTGGCGAAGTCGTCACGGAAACGAGAAGTTCGTAGTAGAGGCCCATCGAATGTATGCGCTGCAAGGAAAGTCACCTCAAGTCGCGGTAGACAAAGTTGTTGCCGCGCCGGTAGGCTAGAGCACTGAAGAGGCCGCCCGTGGAAGGCACCACGTGTGACTTGGACCTGTGCTCGATCGCGAGGTTGCAGGAGATGTGAGAAAGTCGACAGCGGCTCCGAGATTAGGCGCGGGGAAGGTCGCTGTTGTTGTCGTACAACTCCGTTGTGGCAATGACGCGCTTCCTGAACGTGCTAGGAAACGATGGCCACATGTGCGGCGTGGCGAAGGGGAAATGATGTCCCGAGAACGAGTCGTGAACGGCGTGAGGATATATAGCTCGGTGCTGATGCCGTTGGTGCATAAAGTGTGGTACGTGTTGTAAGTGCCGACGCAAACACTACCTTGCCGAAGATGATGTGTTTCGATTTCGAGACACCATTTCACGTTCGTGTGAACATTGGAGTCAGCAACGAGAATTGAGGTGACGTTGCGGCCGTGGACGCGACGGGCGCATGAGTCGCGCAGAATCTGGAGACATGAGATGTAGGTAGGATGTCGTACGCCGTGACATCTCGACGGTTTGAAGGTTCTGGGGCGCCGCTTGATCGTGTTAGGGCGTAGCGTCGCAGCTCCACCCCCCGGGGCCCGGTCCGCTCGAGTAGAACCCCACACCTTCACCACAGCACATTCAACCATCAACACTCTTGCCATCTCGCGCGCATCCACCTCTGCAAGATGCTCACACCTTAGGCATTTCGCTAAATTGTCATCCCCTTTGTTCACCAGTTTCGCGACGCAAACGTCGAGGCTGTGCAGCATGGACTGTTCGGGTCTTTCGCCATGGGATTCTCCAGATACGATTTGCCTTTCTATGATGGCTTTATGTACCTGTCCTGGGATGTCAATCATTTGCTAGACCTTTGAAGCTCGTCTTGCTCATCTTCACTTGCCAACGCGCTCGCACACGGTCATGTACGCGACATGTCGCGTGCTGTACCGTGCGATTGCCAATTACACAATCATACACATGATTGTCCCAGACAATCGCGTTATTATGCTAAATGATCGGTCTCCAGCGATTTATCACCGTGACTTTCTCGCTGGAATACTGCCCACCAACACCCGCTTTCCCCGGCAGATCGCAGACGTGAATCAAGATCTCCTGCAAGAGTCAAACGGTGGCCATGGCGGACTGCCCCAGCTCAGGCAACATTCAACCGACTACGCGCAGCCCGTGTCGCCATGCAGAAGACCTATCCGAGGCCGAACTGAGCGAGTACGGGACGGCCATGATGCGAGCGGCACGCGAGAGTTGCTGCCACTCGATTCATCTTTTAGTCGAGGGTGCGGATCGCGCCAACACCCCTACCAGCGACGATCACACGCATAGTGATTTTATCGACGGTGAGGCGAGGCCAACAGCATCTGCGCCCAGTGTTTGTCACTTTAGTTGTAGGAACGAATGTCGGATTGACAACCCTGAGCCTCAACATTGCGTCAGCCGTGAAGATCTCCCGACAACGACGCACATCAGACCCCATCCAATGACTGATGGTACGGAATCGTGGACGCCCAGCCCGACACTGGTATCACTGAAGTCTAGGGCCGAGTCGGTGGTGCGTAGGATCGAAGAGGATATTACTCGTCTTGAGAAGAATGTTGCCAACGTCACTCGCCGTCTCGAGCGATACGCGAAAAGTCCGTCGATCAGTGCTGGCTCTAGTATACATGGCTTGGGCGACGAAGAAGGGAGTCGAGATGTGCATAGTGCAGGGAGAACGAATGGCTCGTGAGCTTCGACCGCCCGGGTGGTGAAGGTCGATAGTTGCCCATACTTTTGGTAGGCCGAAATGACGGAGAAGAAAGTCGCATCAAACACAGAACTACAAGTATCAAAGAAAAGGTGGGCGAGATGTTGTAGGCAATTGATCAGCCGATTGGATCAGACGACTGCGAAGCTGGCCGCATCAGAAGCCAATGTACAGATGGTCGAGAGGATATCTCTGCGAGGAAAAGCGAAGAAGGAAT